ATAGTAGGAGGCAGCCCTGTTTTGCTTCAGTCTTCAATTCAAAGCCATCACTGAGATTTCCATTGTCAATCACTTGGTATGTGGCGTCATCATATAGTTGTTGAAGGAGGTTAAAAGAGGTTTGTGGGACTAAAAGCGTAGTATTGAAGCAGTTTCCAGTTAACTTGTCGGTCAACGCTATCGAAGGCCTTTTCAAAGTCGATAAAGTTGAGGTATAGTTGAGTTTGCTGCCATTCTATGCTCTGTTATATGATGATACGTAGCATTGCAATTTGATCCTCACATGATTTATATTTCCTGAAGGCAACCAGGCAACCTATTCCGACTGTAAATTTTGACCTAGCGCATCTTTTATTCTCTCCAGGATGATGCGATTTAATATCTTGCTTGGGGTGGTCAGGAACTGGAGCATGATTCCTCTCCAGTTATTGCAAAGACTTAGGTCTCCCTTCTTTTGGAGTTTGACAAGGTAGCCCTTCGTCCAACCAACCGGCAGTTACCTTTCCTTTCTTTCACACCTTCTGCAATAGTGGTATGTTGTGAACATGTCCGCTGTTATCTCTGCGTCTGTTTTCATTGCTTGTGGAGGAGTTCCATCTGGTCCTGCTGCTTTCTTGGATTTTAACAACTTTATGGCGTTGAGTACTTCACTTCTGCATTCTTCGGAGGGCTACTGTTCACTGATAATTCTGCGGCTAGGATGCTGGTGGTATTTCTGGACGAGTTTCAGGTGGTGGTGGTGGTTGATTCAAGAGTTTTTTGAAGTGGTCAACCTATCAGTTCCCTTATTTCTCCTCTTTGCTGACTTTATTATTATTATTTATTATTAGTACCTTGGGTTCATAGTGGAACATAGGGTTTCACTAGCACATCTCCAGTGACCTCTGTTCTCTGAGATCTTTTCAACCTGGCTCCACGATAGCCCACAACCTCTCATTTCCTCCTCGCACGACCTCCTCCATGTCACCCTCACCACGGACGCCCAACTCGTCGCTTCCCATAGGGATTCCACTCGAGCGACTGGCCTGACGCGTGATGTCCTCAGTCGGCCTTCTCAGTGCATGCCCAATCCATCTCCACTTCTTCCCACTGCATATTTGTTGGGTGATAGGTTCTTGGTTGGTTCGTTCCCAGAGCTCCTTGTTGCTTATTCTTTCTGGCAATCCATCTAATCTTCAGCAGAGAGCGTAAGCAGTTGTTGATGAATGTCTGTAGTTTATTGGAAATACCTTTCGTGACGCGCCAAGTCTCTCAACCATACAGAAGCACTGACTTGACTGACGTTGGTGTTGAAAATCCTTATCTTGTTCCGCATGCTGAGTGCAGAAGATCTCCACACTGGTTTCAGACTAATGAACGCCTGTCTTGCTTTTCTGATTCTGACTTTGACATCTTCGTCTGTTCCACCACCACCTGTAGTTGAGACAGTGCTTCCTAGATAGATGAAGTAGGTTAATTCTTTTAAGTTTCTCCCGTTGATGGTGAGTGGAGTTTGTTGTTGTTGTTGATGGTGGTGGTGTGGTATCTTCATCACCTCTGTCTTCTCTATATTCACTTGAAGTCCCGTCTTCACTGCCTCTTCTGTCAACTTGTTAGTTTTCGCCTGCCGATCTTCAAGTTTATGTGAAATCAGGCACAAGTCATCGGCGAAATCTAAGTCTTCTAGGTTCTTTTCCGTCGTCCAGCGTATCCCCCTCTTCTCACAGCTCCCCACTGTTTGTTTCATGATCCAGTCGACCACAATCAGGAATATCATGGGTGATAGTAGGCAGCCTTGTTTAACTCCTTCCTGTCTTCACTTCACTACAAAAGCATCACTGAGCTTCCCATTGTGAATTACTTGGCTGGCATGTGGCATCTTCATATAGTTGTTGAATGAGGCGGATAAAGGTTTGCGGTACTCCGTAGTAGTGAAGCAGCTTCCAAATTACTTCTCGGTCGACGCTGTCAAAGGCCTTCTCAAAGTCAATGAAGTTGAGGTAGGATTGTGTTGACTGTCATTCTATACTCTGTTCTATGATGATGCGTAGTGTGGCGTTGCAATTTGGTCTGCACATGATTTGTACTTCCTGAAGCCTGCCTGTTCCGGTCGCAATTTTGAATCCAGTGCATCTTTAAGCCTCTCCAGGATGATGCGGCTTAATATTTTACTTGGGGTGGGCAGGAGTGTGATTCCGCGCCAGTTCTTGCAATCACTGAGGTCTCCCTTCTTCGGCAGTTTGACAAGGTAATCCCTCTTCCAATCGCCAGGTACCTTCTCTTCCTTCCACACCTTCTGCAATAGTGGTGTGGTGTGAGCATGTCTGCTGTTGTCTCTGCGTCTGATCTCAGTGCTTCTGGCGGTATCCCATCTGGTCCTGCTGCTTTCCCGCATTTCAGTAGCTTTATGGCATTCAGGACTTACATTTTTGTTGGAGGATTTATGTTCCCTTGTAATTCAGCGGCTGCAGGTGGTATTTCTGGACGAAGTGCAGGTGGTGGTGGATTCAAGAGCTTCTTGAAGTGGTCGGCCCATCGTTTCCTCTGTTTCTCTTCTTTCGTAATTAAATTTCCTTCTTCATCTTTTATTGGTTTCATCTGTGTTGGTCTCTTCCCTCCCAGATAGCAACCTGGTTATTTGATACAATGTCGTCAGGTCTCTCTTACCTGCAGCCTGTTCTGCTTCACTTGCCAGTGTTTCGTAGAAGCGTCTTTTGTCTTTGCGTGCACTCTTCTTCACTTCTTTGTCCAGTGTTTTATACATTGTGCTCAGTTCCTCTTGTCGTTGAGCATCCTTGCACTGGTTTATCTTCTGCTTCACCATCCTCCTCTCCCTGCTCTATCAGCTTCCAGGTATCCGTCGAGATCCATTCCTTGTCTTCTTTCTTCTTCCTTCCTAATACTGTTGTGCAGGTTTCTTTCCACATAGCTTTCAAAGACTTCCAGTGTTCTTCCACACAGGTTTCTTCAGGGATGTTCCTCGATATCTCCCATTTTGTCTTGATGGCTGCCTTGAAGATCTCCTTTGTAGTTTCATCCTTCAGTTTCCGAGTGTTGTACTTGAATTGAGGTCTATCACCAGCTTCCTTGAAGGCTTTTAACTTGATTTCGAAGGTTCCTTGCACTAGATAGTGGTCTGAACCTACATCTGCTCCTCTTCTTGACCTTGTGTTCAGTAGACTGCGTCTCCATTTTCTTGAGATTGAGATAAAGTCGATTTGATTTTTAGTGTGTCCTGGTGTCTGGTGAAATCCATGTCGCTTTGTGGATATCCTTGTGCCTGAACACACTGCCTGGCCTCCAATTACCAAATCATTGAATGCACAGAATTCTGCAAACAATTCTCCATTCTCATTCATTTCACCTAGCGCCTCTCGACCCATGGTTAGTTCTCTTCCCGTGTTGTCCCCTCCCAGATTGGCATTCATGTCGCCCATTAGAATTTTGATATCGCCAACTGACATCTTGTCCAGTGTTGATTGCAGTTGTCTGTAGAATTCCTCCTTTTTCTCTTGCTCTGCATTATTTGTAGGTGCATAACATTGTATGATTGTGACCTTTCTTCCTTTTGAGTTGAATCTTGCTGTCATGATCCTGGAGGAGATTGGTTCCCACTGCATGAGAGCCTTCGATGCTCTTGAGGACATCATGATAGCCACTCCATAACTCAGTGTGCTCGTGGCTGTTGTCTGGGTGACGATATCGGAGTAGATTATTGATTCTCCAGTTGACAGTTTGGAGAGTCCACTCTCATTCCATCTGCTTTCGCGAATCCCAAGAACTTCGATTTGATACCTCCTCATCTCCTTTGCAGTCTAGGCTGCCTTACTGGGTTCAAACATCGTACAGACATTCCATGTCCCCACGTTTACTTTCGCTTTCATCGAGAGAAGACACATCGGCCAACTGGCTTCCCGAAGGCTTTCACCAACTGGCGTCATTTCGCCTCTCCGATTGCAGCGGGGAATAAGATTGTTTTTATTTTTTATATTTCGTTTGTGCTTTGAAGTTTCTTTAGCGGTTAGATTTGTTTTACGGGGTAGGGTTGCTAGCCGTATGCCCAACCTTCCCTCTTTACCCGGGCTTAGGACCGGCTAGTAACTAGTGAACTAGTTAACCAGGCTGCCTTAACTATCTCTCATTGGTTTCATCTGAGTTGATCTCTTCCCTACCAGATAGATAGGATGCTGGTTATCTGATATAATGTTTTCAGGTCTCCGTCTCTCCTCCCTGCAGCCTGTTCTGCTTCACTTACCAATATTTCGTAGAAGTATCTTTTGTCTTGGATGATATATATCTAGGTCATTGAAATGATGGAAAAGGTTTGCAGCTAAAAATATTAAAGCTCAGAGAACACCAAGCCACCACCGCTATTCAGATCATTTTTCCATGCTAGTCTACGGTTTGATTATCTTGTTTCCATCTTTCAAATTAAACTCTATTTGTGACCCTAGTGATCCATTTGTGAAAGCCTATAGAAATGATGTATAAAAGTTTGTGAATGTGAAAAATCATTAGTTTTCTCATGTAAACATGAATCATTGAGATTATGTTTTGTGTCCTCTCAGAAGATTAGTAACAAACATGCTATTCGATAAAAGTTTTCTAGAACATGAAATATCGATCACCGTGAGAATCTATCCTTACGAATCCATAGAAAAGACAAAACGTGCTTGCAGTAGAGAAAAGTTTTTCTTTTCGACAAAGTTATTTACTAAATTGTACATTTGTGAATGTATACTACAGTGGTCAGAATGTGCCAGAATTATTTCCAGCTAGGGGATAAAATGACTTTGTCGAATAGAAAAACGTTTTCCCTGCAACCACGCCTTGTCTTTTCCTATGATCAAATGAATGTATTCCACTGTTTAAAAATTAGTAAGGATCCATAAAAGTTAGCAATCTAGTTTACACGAATGTTACATTAATAAATGTATTAAAGGTAAAATTTCTCTCTGCCCACATCTTCTTTTCAAACTGTATTCTCTCCTTTATTTTCCCCCGAAAAATATGAACTACAGTTTTCATGATACAGAAAATGGAAGTTTACTCAATTCAATGTGGTTGATTGCTGTCACCTTTTTAAGTATTGGTTACGGTGATATTGTACCACATACATATTGTGGTCGAGCTATCGCTTTAGCAACTGGAGTCATGGTAAGCATTAATTAATTTATTTACATTGCATTGAATATTGAAAATATTTATTCATCTAAATGTACTTTTATTATTATTATTAGTCCCTTGGGTTCATAGTGGAACATAGGGTTTCACTAGCACATCTCCAGTGACCTCTGTTCTCTGAGATCTTTTCAACCTGGCTCCACGATAGCCCACAACCTCTCATTTCCTCCTCGCACGACCTCCTCCATGTCACCCTCACCACGGACGCCCAACTCGTCGCTTCCCATAGGGATTCCACTCGAGCGACTGGCCTGACGCGTGATGTCCTCAGTCGGCCTTCTCAGTGTATGCCCAATCCATCTCCACTTCTTCCCACTGCATATTTGTTGGGTGATAGGTTCTTGGTTGGTTCGTTCCCAGAGCTCCTTGTTGCTTATTCTCATTATTCAGGCAACCCATCTGATCTTCAGTAGCGAGCCAGCGTAAGCAGTTGTTGATGAGTGTGTGTAGTTTATTGGAAATCCCTTTCGTGACGCGCCAAGTCTCTCAACAGAAGCACTGACTTGACTGACGTTGGTGTTGAAAATCCTTATCTTGTTCCGCATGCTGAGTGCAGAAGATCTCCACACTGGTTCCAGGCTAATGAACGCCTATCTTGCTTTTCTGATTCTGACTTTGACATCTTCGTCTGTCCCGCCTGTAGTTGAGACAGTGCTTCCTAGATAGGTGAAGGAGGTTACTTCCTTTAAGTTTCTCCCCGTGTTGGTGATTGGAGCTTCTCTATATTCACTTGAAGTCCCGTCTTCGCTGTTACTTCTTCGAACTTGTTAGTTTTCGCCTGTAGATCTTCAAGTTCTAAATGTACTACTATAAAATAATTAAGCGACCAGTTTATTACTGTTCAAAAAACTTCTTCTGTAGTTGTACGGAATTAAGAATACAAAATAATTGTAAGATTTTAAGTAACTAAAGACTTCCATAATATTTATAAAAACCAACAATCTGAAAAAAGAATATTCTTTTTAATAAACATTCCCCTTAGATTCTACAATTATAAAATGCATTAGTACAGTGTAAAAACAAGCCATCTTAAGGGCAGATACATTTTCAAAATGTAGCGAAATTTAAGGATTGTAAGCAAATCGATGACACGTGTACAAAAGAATAATGTGATGATGAACAAGAAGATAACGAACAAAATAAAAGGAGTGGTCTTTAGGTTACCGGATCAATTCAGGCTTCAATCTTATTACAATAGTCTCCACTATGTTGAGCAAGTGTTGGTGAACTATATATGGTATCATTTTTGAAACATGATGAATGACATCGAAATCTTTATTAACATCTATGTAATGTCTTGTGTAGAATAGATTTGCTAGGACTGAACTTCTCATCACTTTCACTACATCCTTTTCCAAACCAAGCTGTTAAATGCTCTCATATCCGAAGACACACCTGCCCAATCGTACGCCCAATGTAATTAGTTCCACAGGAACAGTTAAACTGTTATATGCAAGATGAGGAAGTAAGATTAGGTGGCCTGTCCTTTAATCTTGAATTGATCATTAGCCGACTACTGAGTGATGTACAAAGCCGACCTGCATAAAAAGTCCTAGTAACTGCTGTACCTAGGCGTTGTAATACAGTGTCACTTGCGTCCAAGCGTTACTTCTCCCTTGACCTTCAGCAGACTAAAGGTCACTTCTGCCATCTTATTCGTTATCTTTTTGTTCACTATCGTATCACTCATCTGTATATATATATCATTCCAAATGTGACAAGTTTATAATGAAAAACCGTTCTGCTTACTGTTCCTAGTTCTCACTCCATTTTGAAAATGTAACTACCCCTAACATGGCTTGAATTCAAGCTGTATAAATGCATTTTATAACTATAGAACCTACGGGGGATTCATAAAAAAGAATATTCCTTTTTTAGATTGTTGCTTTTTACAAAATAATTGTTAAGCAGAACCTTAAAAAGATTGGGTTATATTTCACTCCCAACTGACAATCTTCAGCTTAGTAATCCAGTAGACCCCTGACCAAGTTAAGAGTTTCACTTTAAGAGCAGTTTAAGATTTAACTGTCCTTTCATCATTGAGTTGACAATCGAATTCGTTTTTTTCGCCAACTCCAGATGACACTGAATAAGAAACATTTAAATGTGCATAGTTTCAGGAGTATTGTATTGGCTCGGTAGCCAGGAAACTACTGATTTCAGTTTGCCTGCAACTCATGTTTGCACTGAATTTCCAACACAATCACAATACAGCGACACCAGGAGGTCAATTATGTACAAAATAATTAAATAAAAGGAATTTTGCTGTCTTTACTACATGATTTGTTCTGCTAGCAATTATCAAACGGCCTATTTGCTTTGAAAAACTTACGACTAATCGTTTTTTCTATGAGTTATGCTTTTACTGACGAAAAAATTCCTCGCTCTTTGCATTGTGACGACTAGTAGTAGTAGTAGTAGTAGTAGTAGTAGTAGTAGTAGTAGTAGTAGTAGTAGTAGTAGTAGTAGTAGTAGTAGTAGTAGTAGTAGTAGTAGTAGTAGTAGTAGTTACTGTAATATTCCATCTGGATTTTGAAATAGTCACCACACTATAAGAAGGATGAAACTTGTCTAAAATGCCAGTTTGAGCCATGCATAAATGACATACGAGAACACGTTGCCATGCTCTTTCATCAACAGAAAACTGAGGCGTTCTTTGAAGATCATTTCAATGATAAAATCTTTATATTCCTCAATATTGCCAAAGTAAAGCAATTAATATAACAATTTTCTTGCATTTTATTGACTAAGACGAGCGCCAAGTATCTGCAATGAATATGTAATTCAATCTCACTAGAGTAAATTATGCTCGATTGTACTCAATAAATTCAACAATGGTTTCATAATCTCAGAATATCCTACAGAACTATATTTAAACACAAGACTAGTCTCGAATACAACATGTATGCCATTCCACTGAAGTAATATCAAAGAATATAACACAAACAGTAAAACAGATTGACTTTACGCTGTTGAGACAGTGAAGGTTAAGACGTTTAACAAGCATGTATATGCACGTATATGTAGTGTCATATGATTTGAACCTGGTCAATCAACTCTTTCACAGTCAAATATAAGCCATGAAATTTGTTACAGACTCCTTGTTTGTCTTATCATAGTCAAAATGTTTACTTGTTTGAATATGGATTCTAAATTTTCGTAAATTTAATTAGCATCCAATGGTCTGAAGCTTATCCCACTCCTTCTGACCCCTTTTGTCGAGGACAACAACAATATGTTCGTTGTGTTAAGTATTCAGTCATCATATGTATCATTAATAAATGACTGAAGAGAAAATTCTCGCTTTTAATCCTCAGAGTTGAGTGATTTCTGTCATTCAGAATTTCAACATAGTCACTAGTCTCAGACTGACAAGAATAACAGTGAAAACGAGTCAGATGTGCTTGTGGAAGCAAGTACATAGGACAGACTGAAAGAAGGGTGTCTACCGACTTTTATGAGCCTATTCTGAGAAGTTTGTGTGTCTGAGTGGTAGGAAGGTCTTCATTTCATCAACATAATTAGATTGCTGGCAATATCGGGGCATCCACACAGGAGCTCATATGCTAATAGAGACCGATCAATTCGGTCTAATCAACGACGGTATCATATAAAACCAATTATACTAAAACTATACGCGTCGCACAAGAAGTGACTGTCGTGCCTCGGTGGTGTTGTGGAAAAACGCGCTGGCATTTGAAGCGAACACTCCCGAGATCGAATCCCAGTTGAAACAACATCACTCCCTACTGGGAGGCAGGTGCATCCAGCTGACGAGTCCCAAATAGGAAGAAATGCGCATCCTGGATTCCACTGCAAGCCACGATCCATCATTAACAAAAGTGGCATACACTTATCCCCCTTGGTAAATTTGAATCAGCCAAAAACAGAGATATTTTCAACATAGAATTAGCTCATTTTATTCTACAGACTTTCATCGGCTGAGAACAGTCTACAATTGAAATGAAGTATTATTGGTAATAATGATATAAAATACCTTATATATGTAAAATTAAATGAAGATTCGAAACCCAGGATAAATAATATGGCAGTGAGTCAAAAAAAACAGGAATAATAATTACAAATCTCAGTCAGAATCAATGACAATTTATATCTGGTGAGATAGAAAATCCTAGATATACGAAAAGGGGTGGAGAACAAAAACAAACAGCAGTATATTAAAAGGGCATTCCAGAGAGGTAGCTTATTTGCATTATTAGTTGTCCCTTGGGTTCCTAGTCGAACATAGGGCTTCAGTAGCACGCCTCAATTCCACTCTCTCCTCTGAAGTTTTCGGAACCTCGCTCCACGACTGCCCACAAGCTCTTATTTGTTCCTCACACCATCTCCCCCATGTCATCCTCGCCTCAGACGCCCAACTTGTCATTTCCTTTTTCCATTCCAGTCTTTTCTACTGCATGTTTGTTGGGCTTCTTGGTTAGTTCGTTGCCAGGCCAGACACAATGAATTCCTTCTTCCTTATTCTTATTATTCTGGCCATCTCTCTGATCTTCAATGTCAGTATGGAGTGAGTGTAGGTGGCAGCTGTTGATGATGCATATCTGCATTTTTTTGTTGTAAATGCTTTTCGTAAAGCGTCACCAAGTCTCTCAACTATCACATAGAAGCACTGACTTGACTGAATAAATGTTGAAAATCCGGGTGTTGTTGACGCTTTATGCTGAGTGCAGTGCAGTAGATCTCCATACTGATTATTTCAGACTAATAAAGGAAGGCAAGTGTTCCTTTTTTGATCCTGCTATTGACATCCTCGCCTGTCCCGCCTGTAGCTGAAAAGATGCTGCCTAGGTAGGTGAAAGAGACTACTTCGTTAGGTTTCTCCAGTTCACCGTGACTGGTGCTTGTCGTTTGTTGCTGTTGTTGATGGTCAGGTAACTTCACAACCTGTAACTTATTTACGTCCACCTGAAGCATTTCGCGTCCTCCTTCGCTGCCTCGCCTCCCCTCTCCTCTCCTTCCAACTTCTTGGTTTTCGCCTGTACATCTTCGAGTTTGTGCAACAAAACACTGGAAATAAATCATGATCGGCGACGAATTCCAAATCTTATTCTGAGGTATCTGCATCGGTCCAGCCAGCGTATAACTCTCTTCTCGCTCCTCAAAGTTTCATGCATGATCCAGTCGAGTCCAGTAGATCACTATCACGAAAATCATCGACGGTAGTAGGTGGCAGTCGTGTCTTACTCCTGTCTCCGATCTTCACTTCCAAGACAACACTGAGCTTACCATTGTGAATTACTCGGCATGTGGTATCTTCATATACTTGCTGAATGAAGTTGATAAAGATTTGTGGCACTCTATAGTGTTGAAGCAGTTGCCTGCCAAATTATTTCTCAGCCGATGCTGTCGATGGCCTTTTCAAACTCGATGAATTTCAGGTAAAGATCCAGTTGACTGACATTCTATACCCTGTTCTATGATGATGTGTAGTGTAGCGTTACAACTTGATCCACACATGATTTGTCATTCCTGAAGCCAGCCAGCCAGCCAACCAGCCAGACTCTTCCGGTTTCAATTTTAAATGCAGCCCATCTTTAGTCTGTCTAAGATGATGCAAAATAATATTTTGCTTGGGTTGTACAGGGACAGGAGCATGATTCCGTGCCTGTTATTACAAACACCTAGGTCTCTCTTCCTTGGAAGTTTGACAAGGTAGCTCTTCTTCCAATCGATCAGCAAGCACCTATAATTTCCCTGCCTCCAAACCTTCGGCAATAGCGGTGTGAGCGTGTCCACTGCTTTCCCTTCGTCTTCGAACTTTGCGCACACTCTTCTTCACTTCCTTGTCCAGTGTAGTGTTTTGTAGGTTGTACTCAGTTCCTCCTCTCGTTGTTCATCTTCACAATGCACTGCACCGGTTCATCTTCTGCACCACCATCATCCTCACTCTGATTTGTCAGCTCCCATGTCTCCATCGAGATTCATTCCTTGTCTTGCCTCTTCCCCTTCCTTCCTTCCTTCCTAACATGGTTATGCACGTTTCCCACCACATCTCTTTCAAACAGTTCCAGCGCTCTTCCACACACGTCCCTCCACGCATCTTCCTCAATGTCTCCCATCTTGTCCTCATGACTGACTGACTGACTGACTGGCTGACTGACTAACTGACTGACTAACTGACTAACTGACCAACATGAAGATGTCTTCCGAAGTTTCGTCATTCAGTTCACTTCCTCTTCTCCATGTCCAACTCGAACTGTGCTCATCTATCACCAACCTCATTCAAGGCTTCCAACTTCATTTTGAAGACAGGCTGATTGCACTAGATGCTGAGTCGTGGGAACCTATATCTGCTCCCATTCCTTATCTGATCTTCTATCAAGTAGACTGCGTCTCCACTTTATTCACATTCAGATGAAGTCGACATGACTTTTAGTGTGCCATGGTGTCTGGCGAAATGGATGTCGCTTCGTGAACATCCTTGTGTTTGTACACACTACCTCCCTCCAATCACCAAATCGTTGAATGCACAGAAATCTGCAAACAATTATCCGTTCTCATTCATTTCACAAACGGGTCCTTCTCCACTCATGATCACCTCTCTTCCTGTGTTGTCCGCTCCCACTTTCGCATTCACGTCACCCCACTCATTAGAATTTTGATGTCACCAGCTGACGTCTTGTCTAGTGTTGATTTCAGTTGTCTACAGTATTACTCCTCCTTCTCTTCTCCTCATCTGCATTATTTGTAGGCGTACAGCGTAGCACTGAATGATTGTGACTTTTCTCAATCTTGAGTTGAATCTTGCTGTCATGATCCTTTATCCGTGAGGAGATCGGTTCCCACTGCATGAGACAGAGTCTTCCATGTTCTTCGAGACATCATGATTGTCACTCCAAAACTCAGTGTTCCGTGCTCACGGTTGTCATCAGGGTGACAATGTCGGAGTAGATTATTGACTCCTCTCCAGTTGACAGTTTGGAGAGTCCACTTCCATTCCATCTGCTTTCCCAGATTCCTATCCTCCCACTTCCATGTCATACCTCCTCATCTCTTTTGAAATCTCGACAGCCCTGGCAGCCGGCTTCAAACATTGTGTGGACATTCCATCTCCCCATTCTTAATTTCGCTCTCATTGAAGGAGAGGAGACACATCGACCTGACCAGTTGACTTCCTGAAAGCTTTCACCAACCAGCATCATTTCGTCTCTCCGATTCCAGTGAGGAATAAGTTCAATTTTATGTTTTGCATTTTCTTAGTGCTTTGAAGTTTTTTCTATCTGTTAGATTGGTTATACTGAGTAGGGTTTGTAGCCGTATGCTCGACTTTCCCTCCTTATTTGGGCTTAGGACTAGCTAGTAACTCGTGGGCTATTTGCCTAGGCGAGGTTCTACGGAGCTAGTAGGTATATAATTGTATGAAAAACAAGAGGAAACTTTGAACTGAATGCGTAATAGTCAGTAGGTAATTAATAAAGTAATGACGCAACCAAGGAAGCTATATTCACATGTGGAAAATCACATACAGTAACCAAGGTGAAAAAAGGTCAATGACAGTCTCTTTTTGAGTACATAGGTCAGGTTGAAAATGCCTGAAAGAGACAGCTCCCACAAACCATTACCGACATGGCGTTCTTTCTTTTTATTATCCTGAAGGTTTGAGTAACATCCTGTATAAATCATGAGCCTGACGACTGCCCTAGTAAAGACCTTTCCATCTTTCAGACTCAAATTTTTCGATATGTTCTCATAAAACGGAGTAGACGTCCTGCTTTCCTTCCTTCTCATGTGCTTGCTTCTGTAAGTACATACGAATTAATAAACACAGTTGAAGGTGAAGTGATCTGTTTATTTGTCTACCTTCGATTATGCTATTGAGCATAATGTATCGTACACTAAGTTCAGTCTATTTGTAACAATTTCTGGTCAGTAGTCAAAATATATTAGATAATGAAGGTGGAAGTACATAATATGGCTAAGGACTCACTATTGTACATGATTTTTAAGAATGAACAATGGCTACTGATATATCAGCCATACCCAGGAGTTCAATCTTTACTCCTTTCAAACGTCTGAGCCAAGTTTGTTCACAAGAAGTGTTCGTAGTTTATTTGATATTCTCATACAGACGGAGTTGAAGATGCATTTCCAGGCTAGATAGTGAGTGCTAAGTAGTACGTTTCATAAACTGGCTTAGATGAACTCAGCTTTGCAGGGGCTATTACAATCGGTTCTATATATACGGACATCAGTGTCGATCGCCGCTGCTTATCAGTTATGATTTGACTAAGTTGTTGATGAAAAGAAGCAAAAGGTGGATGAACTAGGGTATTCGAACCAATCATTCTCGACTACTGTCTGAATTTAGAATTGATATATTTTCAGGATTAATGCAACTGTTATTATGATTATTAGGGCTCTGGATGTACAGCTTTGGTGGTTGCAGTATTTGCAAGGAAATTGGAATTATCCAAGGCAGAAAAACATGTGATTCACTTCATGATGGAGAACCAACTGAATAAGAAGGTAAGTGATTGAAACCTCTGAAATGATTCCTTTTTCCATATAAGGTTACAAGTTGAAATTTCTTATTTAATCAAGTTGATGGTATTATGGAAAAAAAATCATAAAGGAATTTGAAATAAATTTACTCCGGATGTTGGATATTGGAAGTCTATCAGTGAGAAGCTATGCTTGACTCATAAGAAAGGAGCATCTTTAACCAATTACAAAGTAGTTTTTCCTTGATGTTTTAGAACTTGAGTTGATCAGTGCTGAAGACAGAGATCTTACAAAACCAGTTTAATGGACGAAGTTCATGAAGAAATTAGGTTAGGGCTAAGGATGTCGCAAATCATCGAATCCCAAGGGAAAACCAAACCATCATCAACTTACCACTGTTTATTTTAGCCTTCGTAAACAGTTTGTGTCTTCATGTAGAGTACAGTCTAGTTTTGCATGCTTTAAACATTTACTAACTAATAAATTCATGACGTATGCCTTTAAGTAACAGATGACTTCTACCTTTTCAAAATCCTTGTCCATGATTCTTTTCAGATCCCAGTGAAAATAGGTTTATATCTATAGGGTTAGTTCCAATTGCAGCAAAAGTGTGGCTTGAACTCAGATCTGATTTTCAGTGTAAAACGCTTCCCTGTTTGTATTTACAATGACCTATGTAGCAGGTTGTGGTACAAAAAGATTACTGTTATTCCATTTGTGCCTGAAAAACTGATTGAAATTGACAGGAATTATCAATGAGCGTCAGTCTACTCAACTTTTTATCCAGCATCAGTACAATGTTTGCGAAGGTGTGAATTTCACGAACAGTCATAACTTGTATGTTTTGCGTTCCATAACTACTTACATATCTTAACAGTAGGTTGTCCCAGTAACCTAGCTGGAAATCTTGCTTCCCAGATAGTCAGGTTTAATTTGGTGAATCGACTCGACTTCTGCAGTAGACAATGAACCATTCCTTTGTGTAAGAATTATTCTGACTATTTAATTGTCCAGACGTTGATAGGTAAATTTGGGTCCAAATTCATGATTCATCGGCTGAAAATCGAGTGTCTAGATCAATAAGCTATAACTTTTAACGACAAACTTCAACAGAAATGGGATAAAAATCCAACGATTTTTGAAAATTATCATCAGTTGTCTGCACCGAATAATACTCATTCTAACATACATTGTAATAAAATGTATTCTATGACTATTTTTTTTTAACCTAGGTGAAAAATTATGCAGCTAATGTACTCCGAGAAACATGGCTTATCTACAAATATACCAAACTTGTTAAACGTGTTGAAGCTTCTAAAGTTCGAGCACACCAGCGTAAATTTCTGAGAGCAATTCATGGGTAAGCAAAATTTCATTGTTAATCTAAGTATATATTTAAGAATACGCACAGTAAACTTGGTACTTACTGTTTATACTCGGTGATGATTGAAGGTAAAGTGAAGATTTGGACAGTGGCCAGATTCCAACCAGCGATTATCAGGTTTCCGGCCAGATGGTTTACCAACTGAACTACGAAGTTCGACTGCTGACCATATTTTTATCTCACTTCAATCACTAAGGGCTTCACTTGACTACTATCTGACACGTTACTTTTGGTTGATCGTATTCATATCGGCTATCTAATCCAAATCTAACTGAATTAAAGGGGTGGGAGAGTATCATACTGATTATGATTTTTGACTATTGGAGATAGCCGTAGTTTGACACTTGTATTTCTAGTTGTTATTCATCGAAGACTGACATCAGTTGGAGGAACAAAGGACACAAAGGTCACAAGTCGTGACCGGTGGAGTCAAAGCCTGATGGCCATGAGGACAAATACTCAACGATGACATTGGGTGGCGGTTTGCGCTATATCGTGAGCTAACAGAAGTTGGAAATATGGAGCATTGGATTCTGACCCAGTGGCTCAATGGTAACGCGCTGGTCGCGGAACCTGAAGGTCGCGGGTTCGATCCCTGCTGGTGGGGTCGTGGATGCGCACTGCTGAGGAGTCCCATATTAGGACGAGACAGCTGTCCAGTGCTCCCAGATTTCCTTTGTTCCTCCAAGTGATGTCAGTCTTCGATGAATAACAACTTGAAATATTTCCAAATCTCCACAACCCCCTCAAAATTTACTTGTATTTCTGCTGGATGATGATTGAAAGTAAAATTTGGACCGTGGCCGAACTGTTTATTTATTAACCTGAAGGTTTCCGATACACTTATTCAATGAACACCTTCTATAAGGTGTCTTATGTTTAAACTCGTAAATACTTTACTCACTTTCAAAGACAAATCTCCTGGGATATGCACTTGAGGTATGATGGTAGATCCCTTTCAGTCATTCGCTTCTATGAACTTGCCTACACATGTAAATATGAATCGGTAAATATACCTAAAGCTGATATGAGAAGAAGCGTATTTATCTGCTTTAAATTGACAAAGTGAACATGTAGAATTGAGATGAGATATCAGCTTACCCGAAGTGAAGTTTCTTCTACACATCTACCTGTTTTATTTAACATCTCTTCTCACTTAAACAGTCTGTTATTTAAGTTGTTTAGAATATTCTCTTCTATCCTTCAGAATACACTTCTTAGAGAGTATCTATTCTTACAAAAATCCCTCTAAGTAACAGATAATTCATCTTCAGGTGTATTTTTTGAGAATAATTTTCTCGCTCTCCTGTAGAGTGTCCTTACCAAACCTTGTTTATAACTGAGAAGACAAAAAATATAGTAAATGAAATATATTTGTAAAATCTCAAGGAGGTAGAAGAATAAATTTTTGATGTTTCGCGATCCCGTGTCTTAAAGGAAGTAACCTCCTTCACTTATCTAGGAAGCACTGTTTCAACTACAGGCGGGACGGACGAGGACGTCAAAGTCAGAATCGGAAAAGCAAGACAGGTGTTCATTAGCCTGAAACCAGTGTGGAGATCTTCTGCACTCAGCATGCCAAACAAGATACGGATTTTCAACACCAACGTCAAGTCAGTGCTCCTGTATGGTTGAGAGACTTGGCGCGTCACGAAAGGCATTTCCAATAAACTACACACATTCATCAACAACTGCTTACTGTGGCTCGCTACTGAAGATCAGATGGATTGCCAGAAAGAATAAGCAACAAGGAACTCTGGGAACGAACCAACCAAGAACCTACCACCCAACAAATATGCAGGAGGAAGTGCAGATGGATTGGCCATGCACTGAGAAGGCCGACTGAGGACATCACACGCCAGGCCCTCGAGTGGAATCCCCATGGGAAGCGACGAGTTGGACGTCCGAGGGTGACATGGAGGAGGTCGTGCGAGGAGGAAATGAGAGGTTGTGGGCTGTCGTGGGACCAGGTTCAAAAGATCTCAGAGAACAGAGGTCACTGGAGACGTGCTTGTGAAGCCCTATGTTCCACTAGGAACCCAAGGGACTAATAAAAAAATAATAATAATTCGCAATCCCGTGCAAATCACTTCTTCAAAGAATAAAGTATGCACAAGTTATCTTATGTTTAAATAGTAAATGACGAAAAATTAGATCACATTGTTCATGATTGATAATAATAATAAAATGGGAATACATGTTATCAGTTTTTATTCCATGAATTCAAGGTAAAGATGTGAAAGTTTATGAAGATGAGCTAAAAATACAACTAACCCATGATCTTTAACAACGCCATCAAACCACTTATTAGTCTGAGATTTACGTAAATGAAACATTTATAGTTTTAAAAGATTAACCATGGGAACTTTTTGAAATTAATTGCTGCCCATATCTCTCCACAAATCAAATTCACACGCGAATACTGAAATACAATTGGTGAATTAGCATTTGTAGATTGTTTAGTTAAAGCAAATGAAAATGGAGGTATAAGTGTATAGATTTATCGTAAACCGATACATTCAGACAGATATCTTGATTTTAACTCACCACATTCATTCAGTGCTAAACTTTAACTCACTATTATTTATTTTTCATCTTGGGTTCATTATGGAACATTTGGCTTCAGTAGCACGTCTCCAACCTGTCGCCATGACTGCCCCTAACCTCTCATTTCTTCCTCACACCATCCCCTCCATGTCATCCTCGCTTTGGACGCTCAACTCGTCGTTTCCCATCCGGGTTCCACTAGAGTGCCTGGCCTGGCCTGGCACTTGATGTCCCAAATGGTCTTCTCAGTGCATGCCCAATCCAATCCATCTCCACTTCCTTCCACTGCATATTTGTTGGGTGATAGGTTCTCAGTTAGTTTGTTGCCAGTCACATGGAGTTCCTTGTTGCTTATTCTTATTATTCTGGCCATCTGAGCTTCCGTAACGAGAAAGCGTAGGCGGCAGCTGTTGGTGAATGTCGGCTGTTCGTTGGAAATGCTTTTCGTGACGCGCCAAGTCTCTCAACCATACAGAGCAAGTGACTTGACTGAATTAGTGTTGAAAATCCGAATGTTGTTCTCCCTTTATGTTGAGTGAAGTGGAGTGCAGTGCAGTAGATCTCCATGCTGATTGCAGAATAATGAGAGCCTGTCTTGATAGGTTTCCGATGTTGGCTTTGACATCTTCATCTGTGCCGCTCCGGCCTGTAGTTAAAGGCATGCTGCCTTCCCTAGGTAGGTGAAAGAGACTACTTCCTTCAGATTTCTCTCGTTCATCTTGATTGGTGCCTCTTGTTGTGGGTGCTGCTGTCGGCTGGGTATCTTCATCCCCTCCGTCTTCCCTACATTCACCTGAAGTCCCGATTTCCCTGCCTCACCCCTTCTGTCAACTTGTTATTTTTCGCCTGTACATCTTCGAGTTTGTGCAACAAAACACTGGAAATAAATCATGATCGGAGACGAATTCAAATCTTATTCTGAGGTATTTGCATCGATCCAGACAGCATATAACTCTCTTCTCCCTCCTCAAAGTTTCATGCATGATCCAGTCGAGTCCAGTAGATCACTATCAGGAAGATAATCAGTGGTACTAGGCGGCAGTCGTGTCTTACTCCTGTCTCCTATCTTTACTTCCAAGACAACACTGAGCTTACCATTGTGAATTACTCGGCATGTGGTATCTTCATATACTTGCTGAATGAAGTTGACAAAGATTTGTGGCACTCTGTAGTGTTGAAGCAGTTGCCTGCCAAATTATTTCTCAGTCGACGCTGTCGATGGCCTTTTCAAAGTCGATGAATTTGAGGTAAAGATCCAGTTGACTGACATTCTATATCCTGTTCTATGATGATGTGTAGTGTAGTGTAGCGCTACAATTTGATCCACACATGATTAGTCATTCCAGAAGCCAGCCAGCCTCTTCCGGTTTCAATTTTGAATGCAGCCCATATTTAGTCTGTCTAAGATGATGCAGGATAATATTTTGCTTGGGTTGTACAGGGAGAGGAGCATGATTCCGTGCCTGTTATTACAAACACTTAGGTCTCCCTTCTTTGGAAGTTTGCCGACGTAGCCATTCTTCCAATCAACCGGTCAGTACCTTTCCTTCCTTCCACAATTTCTGCAGTAGTGGTGTGGTGTGAGCATGTCCACTGTTGTCTCTGTGTCTGTTTTCAGTGCTTCTGAAAGGATTCTATCTGGTCCAGTTTCTTTCTCGGATTTCAGCAGCTTTGTGGCATTCAGTAATTCTGCTTTTGTCGGAGGGCCACTGTTCGCTGGCAGTTCTGCCGTTGCAGATGGTATTTCTGGACGAGCTGCAGTTGGTGGTAAATTCAAGAGTTTTTTGGAGTGGTCACCACATCGTTTCCCTTGTTTCTCCTCCTTGGTATCAAGCTTTTCTTCTTTACGTCTCACTGGTTTTGTCGGAGTTGATCTCTTCCCTCTCAGATAGGAACCTGGTTATTTGATATATTGTTATCAGGTCTCTGCTTCTTCTACCTGCAGTCTGCTCTGCTTCACTTACTGGTGTGTCATAGAACCTTCTTTTGTCTTTGCGCACACTCTTCTTCACTTCCTTGTCCAATGTAGTGTTTTGTAGGTTGTACTCAGTTCCTCCTCTCGTTGTTCATCCTCGCAATGCACTGCACCGGTTCATCTTCTGCACCACCATCTTTCTCCCTCTGATTTGTCAGCTCCCATGTCTCCATCGAGATTCATTCCTTGTCCTGCCTCTTCTCCTTCCTTCCTTCCTTCCTTCCTTCCTTCCTTCCTTCCTTCCTTCCTTCCTTCCTTCCTTCCTTCCTTCCTTCCTTCCTTCCTTCCTTCCTTCCTTCCTTCCTTCCTTCCTTCCTTCCTCCCTTCCTCCCTTCCTTCCTTCCTTCCTTCCGTCCTTCCTTCCTAACACGGTTATGCAGGTCTCCCACCACATCTCTTTCAAACAGTTCCAGCGCTCTTCCACACACGTCCCTCCACGCATCTTCCTCAATGT